TTCTCTATCCTGGTGCTTCTTGACCTCTCAGCGGCTTTCGATACCATCGACCATGGTATCCTTCTGCGTTGTCTCGGAGAGGTGGGGGTGGGCGGCACCGTATTGCGGTGGTTCTCCTCCTACCTCGCAGTCGGTGTTGGCGGGCGGACAGAGATCGACCCCTAGGCGCCTCGATCATGGGGTGCCTCAGGGCTCGGTCCTGTCCCCCCTCCTTTTTAACATCTACATGAAACCGCTGGGTGAGATCATTCGGCGACACGGGGTGAGGTATCATCAGTACGCGGATGATACCCAATTATATATCTCCACCCCGTGTCCTTTCAGTGAAGCAGTCGACGTGATGGGCCGGTGCCTGGAAGATGTGAGGGTCTGGATGGGGGTGAACAGGCTTAGACTCAACCCTGACAAGACTGAGTGGCTCTGGGTCTTGCCTCCCAAAGGCCAACTGGATGGTCCATCTTTAGTCCTAGGGGGGGCAAATTTACCTCCCTCAGTGCAGGCATGCAACTTGGGTGTCCTCCTGGACTCACAGGTAAATCTGGAACAACATCTATCGGCTGTGGCCAGGGGGACCTTTGCACAGGTTCGCCTAGTGCACCAGTTGCAGCCTTATTTGGACCGGGAGGCTTTACTCACAGTCACTCATGCCCTTGTCACCTCAAGACTGGATTAGTGTAACGCGCTCTACATGGGGCTACCCTTGAAGAGCGTTCGGAGGCTGCAGTTGGTTCAGAACAAGCCGCGAGAGCTATTGTGGGCACGCCAAGGTACGCCCACGTGTCCCTATCCTCCGCGAGCTGCACTGGCTTCCTGTGGGTCTCCGGACGCAATTCAAGGTGTTGGTTATCACCTTTAAAGCCCTTCATGGCATAGGCCAGGTTACTTACAGGACCGCATTCTGCCGGACAGCTCCCAGAGACCGGTGAGGTCCCATAGATTGGGCCTCCTTCAGGTCCTGTCGGCCAGACAATGTCGGCTGGCGGGCCCTCGGGGAAGGGCCTTTTCTGTGGTGGCTCCGACCTGGTGGAATCAACTTCCCCCTGAGGTTCGAACGACTCCCACCCTGCCGGCCTTTAAGAAGGCCGTTAAAACTCTCCTGTTCCGGCAGGCCTGGGGCTGATGTCCCCGGGGGGCCGGGATATGATCGGACTCGCGGTTTTACTGTTTTATTTTATTGTTTTATCATTGTTTTAACTTTGTATGCCGCCCTGAGTCCTTTGGGATTGGGCGGCATATAAATATTTGAAAATAAATAAATAAATAAATAAGCACTCTGCACCTGCTTATTGTTGTAACTAGGCCTCCCATCAATCAACACTTTCCTCACCTCGCCAGCCCACTTCTTCTGCGACGCCTCCTGGTCTGCATTTTGCCATCAGAGACCTTCTGGAAAGGCCTTTGCAGCTGAGAACCAAGCTACGGATTGAATCTGTAGCTCGGTTCTCGGCTGCAGAGGCCTTTCCAGAAGGCCTCTGATGTCAAAATGCAGGAGCTCCATTCTCAGCTGAAGAGGCATTTCTTTTGGTTGCAGAAGAAGTGGGCTGGCTGGACGGGGCTGTCGGTGCCACCGCAGCGAGGTGTAACCATGGAAAAGGCAAAAAAATAAATAAGACTGGATTTTATTTTGGGGAAAACACGGTAATAGTCTCTATATGGAACTGCTTTATAGGTAATTTTGAAGTTACAATTTGGTCTAAAATATTGCATTTGGATCTTGACTGACTCTAAAGGACAGCATATTTTTTAATTGCACTGGTTATTAGTTGGTTTCCAGATTTAATTTTGTATTTTCCAGGGCCTAGTTTTATATGTTAAATGCCTAAATGGGTTAGGACCAAAGTACATGAAAAACTCTAATTTATGTGAATATTATATGCCCAGTTTGTAAGGCAGCTAGAAAGTTTTTTCTTCAAGTTGTGTTCCCTATCATTAATGAAGCTGGTCTACTGTCCACACAGAATGGGCTCTTTTTCACGGGCCAGTTACATTTTAATAGAGTTCAGCTCAATCTGAAGTTTGTTCTTCTTGCTCTCTTTCAGGTGTAAACTGGAAAGTTGAACTTTTTTCTCCTTTGGCTTTTGTTTTATTTAGTTGTGCAATTAATTGATTCACTAACCTTCTGATTGATATTTTGGCTGTATGTAGTATATTTTTAATTATATACTATAAATATAGATAGCATTCTAAATTCTGGTTTCAGTTATTAATTCTGTATGTGTTTTAGTCAAAAAGCAGAATTAAAACACTTTAATTAATGAATTACTCTACCAAGATAAAATACTCTTTTCAAATCCAGTCATAACATTTCTTACTTTCTAACCTCTTTTTTTCTCAGTTTCTGATAGTTACCAAAGTTACAGTACTATGAAAACTTAACAGAAAACCTTTTTTTTTTAATCATTTAGAACTTTAGGGCCATGAGTGAGTAAATGAGAGAAGGAGCTTATAGTAGCAATATTCCAATCATCAAATCCTTTGTTTTTACCAGCTTTTTCTATATTGAAATGTGCATAATATATCTAGCTTTGTGTACTCTTTGGGGAAATTTAGAATGATGAATGTTGACATTTAGCATGCCTGGTGGAATTAGCAAAAGATTAGTGAACAGGCCAGGAATTACAAAGACTGATTTCAGTGCAAAGCAATAGGATTAGAATTCATGAAGATAAAATATTTTTCTGAGATTGTGGAAGGACTACAATTTCTTATCGAACTGTATGTGTTAATTACAAAGCAGGAGAATGTCTCTATCAAACACAGCTGCTGTTTTCTTTATAGATAATCCACATTATCTTTCACTTCTTTTTAAAGTATTTCTTCCCCTCTTCCTCTCTACAACTCTCTCTCTCTCTCTCTGTGTCTCTCATTGTCTTCCTCCCCCCCTTCTCTCTGTCTGTCTCTCATGCAGGCACATGATGAAGTCTGATGAAGTAAACTCTGAATTGTGAAAGCTTGCACTGTTTGTTTTAATTATCAAAAGGCTCTTCATTATTATTAATAGACATGATACTCTCAGTAGACATTCAAAACAATTTTATTGAATATTTATTTTTACTATTAAAGCATAAACTAATACATGCAACAATGGCAATTAAAACAAAATTGGATCAAAGTAAAAAAAAAAAGAATAGTTCACATAATATGGTTTTTTACTTTGATGGAATGTAGTTCAGAGTTGCTGGAGGGAGGGGCTCTTTCCCAGAGAGTAAATGAAACGGTGGATCTTTGAAGGTTGGTCAGCGGAAAGAGAGTTAAAAGAGCTCCTCCCTAGCAGTTGATAGAGTATAGGCAGATAATTGCCTTAGCCTGGCAAGATTTCTATTTGTAGGTGAACAACAATAAAGAACTATTCAGAAGTAACCTACCTGTTGTTCTTGGTTCTTTGCGACTGACATTTACAGCATTATGAAATTAACGTTTTAAATATGAACCGGGAAGGAACATAGCTGTTGATATATAAATTAGTGATTCATAACTCAACCCCAGGCTTAACAGCTAATGTAATACTTGTAGTCCTCAATATACAACCACAATTGGGACTGTAACTTCTGTTGCTAAGCGTTGGGGTCGCTAAATGAGTTACACCCAATTTTACAACATTTTTGACATGGTCATTAAGCAAATCACTGCAAGTATTACTTGAATCAAAGGGTTGTTAAGCAAATCCAGTTCCTTCATTGACTTTGTTCTGGGAAGCTGCCAAGGGAAGGTTGTAAATGGAGATCACATGACCCCTGGATGCTGCAACCATTGTAACTATAAGCCAATTGCCAAGTGCCCAATTTTTGATCATGTGACTGCGGTGACGCAGACTCTTTATTATGGCAAACCTACAAAGTAGAATCACTGTGGTACCTGTGATCCCATCATTGGGTGGGAATGATGATCAAGGTGGATGAAACCAGAATTTTCTTCCCTTGATTTTTTGGGGAGAGGTAGGACAGTACGTTTGGGAGTTTACATTACATGTCTTTCTCTTAATCCCTTCTCAGATAGAAGTAACATATCAGACAGTTTGAACTAGCTGGTCAGATATGATTTCTGGGGAACAAAAATGGGGTGTTGACTATCCCTGAGCATGAATAAACAAAAAAGGCATAAAGATTTTGGGAAAAGAGAAAAAGGCAGCCTTGAGATTAAGGCTAAGGAGCTTCAAGGCTAAGTTGGGTTGTTGTATTCTAAGAGCCTCTGCAAATGTCTTTGACTTAAAAGAGTTACTAAAATGTTTGTTTAGGGTGCTTTTTAAAGGGTGCAATAAATATATTGACCTGAAAGTAAAATTAAGTCTTTAAGAAGCTTGATGTTGCTTCACAAAAAAGTCCGTAATGGAAACAAGACATCCCCCTCCCCCCAAATTAAAGATGAGGACTCATCATAATTCAGGGTGATCTTCCTTTCTGCTGTAGTGCAGTTTTTTAAAATTGTACTGCGTTCAGTGTTATGTTCCTAAGGAATTCAAACCCAATCTTCTCTTGCTGTATATGGAAGAGAAGCAGCCCTAAAAATAAATAGGAATCCAATGGATAATTCTGATTTTATTTTTCATTTATGTTTTATTTTTTTGCAGATTGAATACTATGGAAATATTTAGACTAGAGAAGATAAGTTAAAAGTGTCCCAACCATGTAGACATATTTGCAAATCCTGAAAACTGTCAGTTGTATAATGGAAGTGTTAAAAGCTTATAAGAAATCAGACATCAGGAGCTGTAGTGGCTCCTATGCTGCTAAAGATAATATAAAAAAATTTACCAAAAATTCGATATGAAACCTGAATAAAATAGCAAAACTGAGCAGGGAATTTGTGTTCATTCTTGATTTTTTTTGATGCAGGTACCATTATTGGGAGAGAAATGTTTTTAAAAGACAAAGGAACAGATTTTATGAATGCTAATATCTAATGCCATATCAGCTGGAGAATCAATTTCTTTCAGGATCTGTTTAGGAAAAACATTGCTTTGAAATGCAAATTTATATTTTTACCTTTACTTTTTTTAATAGAACATGACTGAAAAACTAAAGGATTGCTTGGGAGAAATGGTAACAATCAAGACAGAACCATGTTCTCCGTGCCAGGAAGAAGAATATGGACAGTTTGGGTAAGAACCTTTGGGTTTCTGATTTGCACTATCAATATAAGAATCCCGTGCAAACTGCAGAGACAAATAAGGATGATAAGTGCATTGTAATGTTACAGTGTAAATATTAACCTTTCATATTTGTGTCCCAGCTTCAGTCATAAGTAGTTCCCAACACTGGACACAAGAGTGTAAGTCACATCATGGCATTTATTTGTTGGATTTTTACATACCACCTTTATTTTTCGTCTAATCAAGGCAAAATATACATTATGATTCTGCCTTTTACTTTCCACCAAAATAGGAACCCTGTCCCTGTAAAAGCATTTTGGAAATTATGTTCAAGCTCTTTATTAATATTTATTATAAGATTGTCAGTGATTTGAAAACATCTTTTTCTTTTCCTATATCCCTGTGGCTTGGTCAACATCTGGTACTAAAGCTATTTATTTCTTTCCAATCTGATATAGCAACTTGGGTTAAGGGGAACAATATATCTTCTTGTACAGAGAAAGAATAGAACACCTGTTCATAGCAGACTGTGTGGAAAATGTGACTGGGATAAATACCTCTTTATATTTCTGAAGGAGAGGGATTCAGCATAGGGCAGAGTTGAGAAGAAGGCCTGATGTTGAATGGCTAATGGCTTGGTTCATAGTTCAGTACTAAATCATGGTGTTTGGTGAAGTCTGTCTATTGTTAAATGATTATAATTAATATGGCATCAAAGCCTTCTTCTGAGATAGTCTTCTTCCCTTTCCTTTATTGTCTCTATATATCCCACACTATGAGAAATTGCCCACCCATGCTGTAAGGAATTAAAATAGCATGTCAGAATAATATTTGCAGGACACTAGGCAAACATGTTTGCTGGTGTTGAGGTATTTTTGCCACTTAAGGAGCCAAAGAGAAGCAGAGCCATTTGAAAATAGTTGAATGTACTGGAGTTTTGGCACCAAGTCTACAAATTTCCTTCAGAAATTTGGGGAAATGTGTAGACCTGGTGCCAGGGCTCCAGTACATCTAATTGATTTGATAGTTTGCTCAAGAAAAGTTCCAAGAAGTGAGAATTAAAAAATATTTTGAAGTAGGTAGAGACTAAATTGACACACAAGCAGGAAATTAATTTTAGTCTCAGGGTTAAAACAACATTTTTTTTTCTTTTAACGACTCTGTAATCCTTTGCATCAGGGCAACTGAATGGAGCTGAACGTTTACTGGTCTGATGCCATTCCTGATTCCTACACGGAGCTCATAGTAGATATTTTGTCTTTGCGCCCAGAGAGAGAAATATCTGCCGCTACCTAGGATCATTGCATAGCCTCCAGATTGTGAGAGGAGAACTCCACTTCTAGACCAACCAGCCACTCTAAAACACCAACATATACTTGTTCTATTTTCTATTTCTTCATTTTCTATAGTAGAATATCACATGTGTTCTCTTGTTTTGTCAGCTCTCAAAAGCTTGACTCTCACTCTGTGGATGTGGAGCCTAAAAAGCTAAAAGGAAAGCAGGAGTTGGTCATGTCCAAAAGTTTTCAGCAGGTAGATTTCTGGTGTAAGTATCTTATTGGTGATCTAACCATTCTAGTATTAAACTTTTAGAATAGAAAATACAGCCAATAGAAAGGTCACAGTTGCTATCTAAACAACAATAGTAAAACTAAAGTAGTGGCATTTTGTCCATATTTCTCTTCTTAGGATTCTACGGTTAGTTTTTTCCACAATTAATTTTTAAAAAGCTATTTTTTTGCCAGATTTGCCAAACTTCATAAGATGTTGACTGTCTCACATGAAAACTCATAAATAATTCAAGCAAATATTCATAATGCTCATGATATTGGAAACTTTGAAAGATTCAGGCTATTTTAAAATTAATTTTTAAAATATTTATTTGGTGTCACAATACTGTAATTAATTATATGATGGCAACAGCATCTGAAAAGGTTTCTAACCCTACAGCTAAAAAGTTTCTATTAAATAAGCTTATATCCAAGAGGCAATTTTGAATATATTCAGCAGCATGCCTTAAATCCATGAAATTAACTTATAAGAAAATTGGAAGGACAGAGTTTTCAAAAGACTCAGCAAGACTATTTCTCAACAGTCTTTGTCTGTCATACATGTAGATATCAGAGGAAACATGGCAAATTTTCTCAGAAAGATTTGATTTTAATTTTCAAATTGATATTGTCCAATGGAAAAGTATTTTCTGCTACCTATAATGCTGACTGACATGACATTTTTATGTTTAATCTGCAAAATCCTTAGTGCTCTCTATGTTTGGTTGCAAATGTTTCTTTCCAGAGTAGAAGAGACAGATCAGAAAAGAGATAATTTTATTTTTTTTTATCAAAAAAGACATAAGTAATGTGGCTTGGTTTTATTCAAATTTACATCCTAATTCTTCATATTAGTTTTTTTAAAAAAAAAATCACAAGAGTCCTATGTTAAAATATTAAATTTACTAAAAAAAAGAAAAGAAAAAAACTTTTGTGACCAAGCAGTTATTTCAATTTAATAGATTTAGTATGAGAAAAGTCAACCAGAAAAAAAAAATCCTCACCAGTTCTAAGGTTGTTTGTCAGTATGACCCTATACAGTATATGAAGTCCAATAGAGATGTGCAAAATGTTTGTTACAGCTGTTTTAGGCTTGTCCATGCTTAAAATGAAACATATATATTTGGGATATTTACATCCATGTATAGAACTGGGAAAAAGCCAAGGGCATAAAAAATTGGAGGTAAGCAACCTCTTGCCCTGAAAGTTTAGCAGCAACTGAGGGAAGGAGAGAAGGCGCTAGAACAGTGGTTCTCAACCTGTGGGTCAGGACCCCATTTGGGGTCGAACGACCATTTCACGGGGGTCACCAAACAACGCAGTCCGCCATTTTTCCCCCTTTTCCTTGGCTGTGCTACTCCCTTTTATTCTATTGGCTTTTGAAAGCCAATAAAATAGACTCTCTTGAACAGAGTCTAATTCTATTGGCTTTCAAAAGCCAATAGGATTTGTCCAGGCTGTCTCTGCCCTGCTGAGCCCGCCAAAAGTCCCATTCTGCAAACGGTGCTGCACCAGTTGATTAGTCCTCGACTTACGACCAGTTGAGTAGTCCTTGACTTACGACCGGTTGGGGGTCACGGCATTAAAAAGGTTGAGAACCACTGTGCTAGAAGCACAGCAAGCTTGTGGAATGTCCTATGCCGGGAATACTGAGGGTAGGAAGGAGCAGAGAGGATGATAACAGATCAAAATTTTCTTCCTGGTTCTCCAGATTTTATTTACTCTGCAGCCTAACATAGTCTAGATTTACTTCTGTTTGTCCTGAAATGATTGAGCAGAATCTCCAGAATGGAGTGGGTTTGTCCAGTGTTTGAAACAAAACATTTTCCCCATTTTGTGTAAGCCTAAAGCATACAGTAAAGAATTTTTCTTGAAAGAAAAATATTTTTGCTTTATGATCTCCATTCTGACATTCTGTTCTGGTTTTGGCAACATCTATAAAATTTCCCACATGAGAAACTTTAAATGTGTGCCGCTTGTTCTCTTTTCTTGCCTTTCAGTTCCGAGCAGGATCATATTAACACTTTTAGTAGTTATTTTGTAATGAGAATTAGCATACTTAGGATTTTAAAGCAAATGTTCATGTGATTCTTCTACTGAAACAGAAAGAAGTAGAGAATCTTTATTTCACTTGGGTGATAATTGGGGTTCCAATTTAGAAAGCATTAAATATATCTCTTCACGTTTATGTTCAAATTTACATTTAAACAAAACTTGGCATTGTTCTGAGACAATATGCAATAAAAATTACATTGATTCCTCCATAGTATTGCTTTGAACTCTTGTTTTGATTCAAAAAGTTATAATCAATGTCACTGTTCTTATATGATTCCCACAGTGCTGATCATGCCAGAATAGCTACCTCTTTATTTACATATATGTGTTATCACCAATTTTGTATTGACAATGGTATGAGGTTGCAATAAAATAAGAGATAAGAAGTACTTCAGAGCCACCAGTAAATTTCTTCAATTGCAGTTTGACAAAGCTGCTTTTTGCATTTCCATAAAAGAAATTTTTAAAAATCAAGCCTTGGAGCTATTGAAAAAGTTCAGGAAATTATGAAAGGAATGCAGTACTAATTTATTTATTTATGAGACTTATATACCGCTTTAAGTGCAAGCACTCTCTAAGCGATGTACACCAGTAAGCAATGTATATATATATTTACATTGCCCCCAACAATCTGGGTCCTCATTTTACCTACCCCGGAAGGATGGAAGGCTGAGTCAACCTTGAGCCGGTGAGATTTGAACCGCTGACCTGCTGAACACAGTCAGCTAAAGTGGCCTGCAGTACTGCACTCTAACTGCTGTGCCACCTCGGCTCTAATGGATTAATTGTAAACCTTGGTCTGATACTTAATTGTGAAAAAGATAATTCATACACAAGAAAATTCATGTACATGTTATGATATAAATGTGAACTATTGGGATTAATTCTCATGTGTTTCCATCTTTAAAAAAAAAAATTAAATATTCATTGGGCCAGGAATAATCTCTGGTTCAAAAAGCCTCCACGGCAACCACAATACACATTTTCCTGCCTTAACTCATACTATTTCCTTAGTTTTGGCTGTGGAATAAGGGTGATACAAACATAGTAGTTGTGGTAAACTATAGTTGTTTGCTTCTGCTTCTAGGAATGGTTGGATTCAAAGATATCTGATTCTTTTAGGCAAGTTTTTGTGAATTATACCTTCATTCAGGAAGCAAACATTTGATTTCCTATTGCAATGAGTTGAAATCCTTGCTGAATCCATAACCTATGACTCAGAAAGATGTAGCTTGGTGGCTGGGAATTACTTTTTAATAGAAAAAAAAATCCCCTAGATATTTTTGGTAATTTGTTTGCAATTTTGATGGAACTTGTAATTCATGAGCATGTTTAATTTGAAAATTAAAATTAAATTCAAAATACTTTACTGGCATCCTTAGCAAGATTAGGAGGACTTGACTCATTCTTGTCATTTCCCCTTTCTATAGTTTGTGAGTCGTGCCAGGAGTACTTTGTAGATGAATGTCCAAATCATGGCCCACCAATGTTTGTGTCTGATGCTCCAGTACCCATTGGCATCCCTGAACGAGCTGTGCTCACAATCCCTCCTGGCATGGAAGTGATCAAAGAGCCAAATGGGGAACGAGATGTCCGCTGCGTAAGTGACGTTATTCCCAAAGGTCGCATCTTTGGACCATATGAAGGGAAGCTGTCTAGTCAGGACAAGTCAGCAGGATTTTTCTCTTGGCTGGTGAGTACTCTTAGCGGGGTGATTCTTTAAGGAATCAGTGAGATTAACATCTGGAACACATTTGCTTAAAAATGTAGTTTAGCTATAAGAAGAACATGTGTAATTAAGAAGCTCCTCACACAATTAATCTTCAGGCAAAGATTAAAGTGTAAAGAACAAAGTAAAACTTGGAAGTCAGGAGTAAGGTTTTTATACAAGAAAACATAGTTCTGCAGGCTGCAAAGCCCAGCTGTCTTCCAGATGAATTTTTTTGGTCAGCTCCAAGAAATAAATAGGTAATATTGTACTAAGAATGAAAAATTAAAAGATTACACTTATTTGTTTAATTACCTTATTCTGTATAATCCTAACTTTGTTATAAATGTATGCGTTTTTTTCAGATTGTTGATAAGAACAACCACTATAAATCCATAGATGGAACAGATGAGACTACCTCAAACTGGATGAGGTGAGTCTGTTTCCTATATATAATTTCCCCTGTGTGTTTTTAATTTGCATCTGTAAAAAGAAAGAATACACTTCCCCTTTTTCAGTTTTTGAAAATGATTACGTACGACTTGATTTTTAATTTCATTGATAAATTTTCTTTCAAATATTCTGTTTATCTTTTGTACAAAAAAGCAGAGTTTTATAGGGGACAAAGAGAGAACCTGGTCATTACAGTGATTTAGAAGTGATTTCTGTATTTTGGTTATATTACCTTTTATGTGTATTAAAATAATTTGAAAGCATTTGCTAATAGATCAGAAGAGAAATGAAGTAGATCAGAATGGAAAAAATTCTGTCATAGGAAACTTGCTTGGTCCTTTTTATTAGGATTATTGGCTATTTTATCTTTGTTTTTAATGACACAGTGGGACAAGTAGAGCAGATGTATCATTTCTGCAACTTAAAACACATCCACAAATTTCAGTTTGATAACTCTCCTATTATCTCTCAATTGATTTTTACAAAAACATCTAGCTATTCCTACTTTAAGTAAAGTATTTCACAACTCTGCTCATGAACAGAACAAATTGGTCAGGAATGTGCTGTCATTATTTTATTCCCTAAATCAGTCTCAATATATACCTAGTTGTTGTGGTTGGATTGGTGTATACAATTGTGCTGCAGATTGTTTCAAATGGTAGATGGCACATGGCAAAATACAAAACACTTCGAAAATGCTGTATTTAAACTAATCATGTTTTAATTAATTTAACAATGATATGGATATGGATAAAAAATTATTGTATCTATATTGTAAGCATTGGGGAAATTTGATTTATAATTTCCAGCTGTCCCTAGGAGGAAGACATATATCAGAAATGTATTGATGTATTTCTTGAAGATGTATTGTAATAGATGAAATGGCACACTAATATCAGATTAACACTGGTTATTTTTAAACCAACCAACACATTTCCTTCTATATAGAAATATACAATATTATTTTGATTTGCTTCGATAGAAATCATATCAAACTTAGTGTGATTTGTGAGTAAGCATGTCTGCATATAATTGGAGTGCAAATATAATAATAGTAAAGGTGGAATACAGAAAAACTAAGTAGCCAATCAAAAGTATTTATCAAATTTTAAAAAATAAGAAATTAAGGCAAATGTCTATATATCTATATTGATATTAGAGTTTACTTGTGAGACTTGTAAGTGTTATTGTGTATTCCAACCACTTGGACATATACTATACCAGTGATGGCGAACCTTTTAGAGACTGAGTGCCCCAAAACTGGCCCCGCCCCCACTCCACTCCCTGCCCACCCCCACTCTGCCCCTCATCCCCCGCCCCGCCTGCCCACAGGACCACTCACCACCTCCAGGGCCCGCCGCAGATTGCCCAGGCAGCCAGAAGCGCTATGGCGGTCACACCCTCTGTCTGCGCCCTGCAGCATCAACTGCATGATGGGATGTGAGGGCAGAGTCTTGTCTACGCTGCCTGGCTGCCATGTCCTTGGCTGCCCTGCTCCGTGTGGGCCACGCTAGAGGGCAAGTCTCCTTCAGGGGGGCTGCTGGAGAGGAGAGGGTTGCGAGGGGAGGCAAGGCTGGGGCAATGGCACGTGTGTCCACAAAGAGGGCTCCGAGTGCTGCCTCTGGCACCCATGCCATAGGTTCGTCACCACTGTACTATACTGTAATCTAGCATTTTTCATGCCAGTTTTCTCTTCTCCCTCCTTTTTTTTTTCTTTTCACATAAAATCAGTGTTCTGAGGCTACTACTAATAACAATTAATCTTCATTAACTTAGAGGCCATTTTTAAATATCTTTCCACAGTGTTAAAAAAATATCCAATTGAATAGCCTGGCTCCAACAGAACATAGTGGAAATAGTGGAGCCGTTTATAGGTTACCCTTTCAAGTTTGTTGAGTTCTGTAACACTTGTTGGCGCTAACAACTTGTTGGTATAATGTTGATTGAAATTTGCAGTTGAATGGGAAACAGTTTTATTCTAGCTTCTTAGTTTGCTGCCTTTCTAGTTTATTTCAAATATCTTCAAGTTGTAATAGGCTTGCAGAACATTGTGTCTGCAATAATGCTTGTGTCGCATTATTAAAAATAGATAACATGATAGGGAAAGGAAGATACTGGTTTTTTAAACTGCAATATTAGCTAGGAAAATATGCTACTAGTAAAGAGAAGTATGGATCACCTTCTCTTATTGGAATATGATAACGAATGTATGGTTACTGATGATGTTGACAGGAACATAAACCTAGAAGGGTACTATTTTTTTAAAAAAAAATATTGCCTGGATTTGAAACTGTAATGCTAGAACAGCTTTTTTTATGGCTTATGCTACCTCAGGATGGTCAAAGTATTCAAAAGCGTGGATTTCCTTCCTTTCTTACATTTTATTTTGCTAAATTAAAAATTGAAATATTAGGATGTACATTTTGAGCTTCATGGTCTCTTTGGATACCGCAGATAATGACAGTAAAATTGATGAGTCCTACCTTGGCAATTATGGTCAAATTAGAACTGCCCAAGCCTTCTAAAATAAGTTCCTGAAGAAGTCATTACTAAAATGTAATTTATTTCTGAGTAAATTAACTTAGGTTTGAATGAAGGGCTGGTGTAATGGAAAAAAATGGTTATAATGGATGTAAAATTCAACAAAAATGCAGTATTTTGACAAAATATGGTACATTCTGAATTATTCTTGGGCTCCTAGAGCACATTTAAGCTGCTTGGCATTTATCATGGGATAAGTGTATTCTGTGCTAGTTCATCTGCTTATTTGTGGGGAATGGTTATATGTTATTAAAATGTCACATTTTTGAACAATACAACATTATATTTCATAAATATGGAAAGAGTCTTTTCTGGTTAAATATTTGTCAAAGACATGTGATAAACATGGTTGGATCAGGAAGACTTTTTAGAAACTACTGTATTTGTGAGTTATAGGATATTTGCTAAATTTGTCTAGTATGAAATGTCAGTCAAAGCCCAATAAAAGATAGAAAATTTGAATGAAATTTATATCAGATTACAAAACACTATGTACTTTGCTGTGTGAATATTTTTTGCAGATAACATCATAAGTTCTCAGATTTTCCCGAACAGAGTTGTAAATTTTGAAAGTAGCCATGGTTCTTCTTAGCATCTCAATTTTCTTTTGTCTGTTAGAAATTTCCTGCAATATCAGGTGAACATTGATTAATCTATTTAACAGAAAGACTATTCATTGTTTTCCATGAAAGGAGCAAACATCATTTAATCAAGGAGGAGAAACAGTTGTTAATCTTGGAAAATTCTCAGTGTGGAAAATTCAGAATACCCTTACTGGTCTTATTTATTTATTTTGGTGTTATGTGTTTAATCGATTTGGTCTCTTGAGTCATTGCCCTGTGGTAAATATCTTCAGGATCCATTTTTACATGAATCAGTAAATGTAATTTTTAATTCCTAGAATTGGTGTTTTTTTGTATTAGAATATTTAGTAGTTGTTTCATTTCTTGCCAAGATAATTAAATTTCTCGAAGAACAAACAAAGCCTCAAAATACCTGTTCATTTACATGCAAAGATTACCCAAAACATGGTACAAGTTGCATGTGATCTTTTTCCCCGCCAACTTAAGAGGACTGCTGTTTTACAAACAAAATATCTTCTGACTTTCTATGCTTGTGTAAGAATGAAAGGCATTATCTTGAGAGGAAGCTCATCAAGCTGAATATTAATGTACAATGGGACATGTTTCTTATTTATAGTAGTGTGAGTATATCGCATTGATTTCCTTTTACCATTTATCCTTTGTGGGATATTGAACCCAAGGAACATGACTGAACGAAAGAGGAAGCCCAAGTTCTCCAGGGAAGAACTGGACATTCTGGTCACTGAAGTGACTCGGAACAAAGCCAGGCTGTTTGGAAGGGAGACAATACGCCTATCTCATGCAGACAGGGACAAGATCTGGGAAGTTATAGCCAGAAAAATCACATCAGTGAGCCATGTTCCCAGATCTGTAAAAGATATTAAGCATGGATGGGACGACATGAAAAGAAGGACCAAAGACAAACTGGCATTCATGCAGAGGTCCATCTCCAGTCCCAGAAGCCCGAGGAGGCCCTCGGCCATTATCCTGACCACCCACGAGAGAGCCATCAAGTTGACACTGCATTCGTCATGCCAGATGCACGGCTTCCCGGAGAGTGGATCTGGACATGGTTGACAGCCCATCAACCAGTTGTAAGTATTATCTCTTGTCTGTTCCCTGCTGTACAGCTTGGTTCTGACAAAGAAATGTATTATACAAAAGATAATGCTTCCCTTTTAGGTGAAGCACACCTTCTAGTTCATGTTTCCTGAAGCATTTAATACTTACTCTTCTGGATACTTTCCTCATTATTGACTCATGAAGCTGTATCTTGAATAAACTGATACAGTCTGTGTACCTTATTATTCAGGTTAGCATAAAGGATAGACAGTATGTTACTGCCCTATCTATAGAATGATATGTGTGATGTATAACATATGCATGTATGCAACAAGGACAGAAGTAATAAAATTGTGAATCATATCATCATTAACAAATCCTATATCAATACCAGTTATTTTTATTATTCATAGACTGCATATTTGCTTACTCAAAAAATGTATTTGTAACTGCAAAATCAATACTAGTGGCATTTATTCACAGTCATGCAGAGTGGCAAAACATTAGTACGACCCAATGTGCACGTTCCCAACCATACTTTTAGCATTTGCTGATTTGGCATTTGTGGCAGTTGTAACAACTGCAGATAACAAGAATTGCCTCTGTATCCCCTCCATAGATACAGAAATAGTCTAAAAAAGGCTGGTGATGCAGTTGATTATTTGTATATAATCCATATTGGTGTTATCATTACTTCCATAATATTTTCTGATATTGAGCCAATACTGTACAGGTTAATGTACTTGACTTGCAGATATCTATTATCCCTGTATCTACTATTTTCCCCTACCAG